ACAGTTTAGTTATGTCAAGATAAAGTCTTAGTTAAATACAAATGCTCTATATTTTTTAAAAATTCAACTAATATTGAAGTCTATATATACACCTAGTAAAAGTTCTCCTTTCATCCCTAAACCTACTCCTTAATGGTTAAATTTGGCTTGTATCTATTGTTGTTGTTAAATGCTGTTAAGTCTGTTCCAACTCATAGCGACCCTGTATAGAGTTTCAGAGGAGCAGCTAGTGAGCTTGAACTGCTGACCCAGTGGTTCAAATTGACTGTGTGGTCCAGTGCATTAACCCACAGCACTATACCAAGACTCCATACTTACCTATGCATATATGAAAATATCTGTCTATATACACGTGGCATTAGGATTGGCGGAAGACTCATTAACAACCTGTGATCTGCAGATGGTATAAGTGAAAAGGACTTAAAATACTGATGAAGATAAAAAACTACAACCTTCAGTATGGATTGTACCTCAATGCCCAAGAAAACAAAATTCCTCACAAGTACACTAAAAAAAAAAATCACATCATGATAAATGGAGAAAAGATTGAAGTTGCCAAAGACTTCATTTTGCAAGGATACACAACACTCATGGAAGCAGTAGTAAGGAAATCAAATGATATATTCCATTAGGCAAATATGCTACAAAAGACCTCTTTAAAGTATTAAAGAACAAAGCTATCCATTTGAGGACTAAGGTATGCCTGACCCAAGCCATAGTATTTTCAATTACCTTATTTGCATGTGAAAATTGGACAATGAATATTGAAGATCAGAGAAGAAACAATGTATTTGAATTGTGGTGTTGGTGAAAAATATTAAAAGTACCTTGGATTGCCAGAATAATCTATCTTTCTTGGAATAAGTACAGCCAGAATGCTTCTTAGAAGTCAGAATGGTGGAACTTCATTTCTTATGCTTAGACATGTTCTCAGGAGGGACCAGTCCCTGGAGGACATCATGCTTGGTAAAATGGAAGGTCAGGGCAGCAAAAGAAGCTCTCCAATAAACTCAACTGACAGTGACAAAAACAACGGACTCAAATGTAACCATTGTGAGGATGATGCAGGTTCAGGTAGCTTCGTTCTGTTCTCATTTGGGCAGAGGGTTGCTTGACAGCATCTAACAACAATGCATACACCACAAATATTTAATCTATTTTCTTTTTAGGCAAATGGGATTCTATTACAGATATTATCCTGCAACTTACTTGTTTTACCTTAATGTATCATGGGCATTATTTGGTGTCTCTTGTTAAGTGTGAGTCAGTTCTGACTCAACGACATGATACAGGGTGTCCAAGGAACGGCTGGTGGGTTTGAACTGCCTACCTTGTGAATCACAGTTCAGTGCTTATCCTACAGCACCACACCAGGAGTCTATTTGTTTCTATCTACTCGTAAATTTTTCTTAAACTGCTTACACAATCAATAGCATAGATACATTATAATTGTTTGCTAAAAATTTACTTTTTACTCCAAGTGATATACACATAGATCCAAGTCTTCCACAAACTTTGTATTATATCAGACTAGCTCTTTCAACTATGTCTTAATCTTGTTAAGAACTAACGCATTCAACGCAATCTCTTATGAATCTCTACCTCAGAAATTATAAGAATATTGGCAGGTTTGGCACACCAAGTTTTTACATGAAGTTCACCAGCTACTGAATGTTTTGTGGTGGGAGAAAGAAAAAGAGCATAGTTAATCAATAATAAATCAAAAGTTCAAGGTTTAGATTTGATCTTCTAAATTCCTCTGATGCAACACCAGAGTTTGTTCAGGCATTTCGGTCTCTTTTAATATTTTAGGAACCTCATGTTTTGAAATGTTTTTTTGAACAAAATTATTTAAATAAAAAGATTTAAAGAATTCATACTACACACAATTAATTCATTAAATAATTCTGCTGCCTATTTTCATCCATCAAAAATATATAAGGGCCAATTTAAATTCTTGATAAATGAGCAATCAGGGATATCACATTGATTTGATAGTGTCTGGCAAAGAAATCCAATGGTGAAGGTTTCGAGTGGGTAAATGTATGATTTCCCCCAGTCAAATATCAATCACATTAGAGATTTCCTTGATGTCTCAAGATGCCCAGATCTGGACAGCCCAGAGCGTCTGCCACTGGCATAAGCACTATATTAACAGGAGTTTTTCAGATTGCATTTAGTTTTATATCTGAAACTACTCCCTTGTCTATCAAGTTTCAAGTCAAATATAGTCTGTCTACTGTAACAAAAACGGCAAGAGGCTCATTCAGATTGGTAAAGGGAAATGCAGGTAGGATAGCACAGAGGTTCTTCTAGTTCCTAAGCAAGGGGGCCAGAATAATGGGAGAAGAAAAAGTCCTTGGCCATTTGAGCTCTGTTTTTAAAGGGAGAAAAAACAAAACAAAACAAAAAATCAGTGCTCAAACCCGGGCTCCTCCACCATCATTTATTTAGTCATTCTGGTGTTGAAGGACAGTGTGACTAGTCTTACTTTTTTATGTTTACAGACAACTTCGATGGTCCTTGTACCATGATCTTTATGAATCAAGTGCAAGTATGTCTATAGAATGAACTTCTAGAAATGGATTTGAATATAGAAAGAACAAACATAGGATGTCAAAGTGGAGGCCCCTGCCTTCTGAGTAGTGCCTGCATCATGTGCTATGTCAAACAGGTGGATTTTACAGTTGTTAAGGCCACCAATTAGGCTTAGAAAATCAGTAAGGCGTGGGAGTAGTTTCCACTCAAGTAAGATTCAAAGAGACTTGATCCAGAGGATTTGAAGAGACTTTTTAGCCCTGAGGGTATCAGGCATCCAAGAGTAGGGCTAGGGAAGTTCATAGATAATCAAGATGATGAGAGAGGATGGTTTTAAAATTGGCAAAAGTTAAAACCATACCCACAAACACACTGTCTTCACCATATACAAAACATTTGTAAATGTGAAAAATACAGGACATTCTGAAATGCTTACACTTGATAAAAATAAACCTGGCCAACCATCTGAGACCAAAAGGGTAGCATATGCCCCAAAACAAAATACAGAAGGAAGGAAGGGGCAGGAAAAATGGCAAAAAACTGGGAACCCAAGAAAGAAGTGGCAATAATGGAGCTACACTGAGGGATATCTAAAAAACAAAATTGGAGACTATTACCTTAAATCACCATTTAACCTGGAACTGAAGCCATTCCTGGAGGTCACCTTTCACCCAAATAATAGATTGGCCTATAACATACAGAATAACACTAATGAATATGCTCCTTAAAATAATCAACTTATTGGACAACATTAGACAAACAGCAAGGAGAGGCTGGGAAACTGGAGGGATGGAAACAGAGAAGGCAGGGTCGAAATGGAGCGAGTGCAAAAGCAAAGAGCAACTACTGCCATGGAACCATCTGTGTGTGCTGAACGGGAAATAAATCTTCTGTGTAAACTTTACCTAAAACACAGTAATGCAGAAGCAGAAATGGAGGTGGGGACTAGGTGTCCCACGGGTCACGAATGAATTAAATCAAATAAAAGGGTGTTTGTATGTTCTGTTTTCCAAATTTCATTTTTCAAATTAATTTATTTTTCTTGTATTTTACCAAAGCATCAATCTGCAGTAGATGGAAATTTTAAAAAACAAAAACTGGTCCTTCGTTGACAGTTTGAATGTACATGAGTCTTTGAAATCTCAGAAAAGACTTCTTGTCTGAATAGAATTACACAGATCAGCCTAGTTAAGTTAGCCGAGGCAAATGTTCATAATTTCTGAAGCACTTAAGATTTTTAAATAATTAATTGCAGAAGCACACCAACTCCTTTAATTTCCATGGATAGAAAGATGCAGCATCTTGATCAGAAGGGAGGAATGCATTAACAAAAGTGTTAGATATTTCAATGCCTACAGGCTCTGCTTTCTTTTAAAGGAATAAAAAATATTAAAGATGGAGGGAAAAATAACGATTTTTCTTTTTAAAATGACTGTACATAATTACCTTATAAATTATTAAACACTATTTTATAAATTGAAAACCTTACTTACAAGATAGCCATATATTATAAGGTTTTCAGTGGTATCAAAAGGCCCATAAGACTAAATGTGCCACTCACTAATAGAAATTCCGCAGGTATACTTTTAGGATTGGGGCACTATTTCAGAAAGTACAAACATTATTTGGCAATGAAAAACCTTTAATTCATTCGTTACTTCCCCTTGAAAAAGCAGAGAGCTCATGGAATAAGACAGGACCTAATAATACTTCAATTGGTGCTGTGGGTTAATGCGCCAGAATGCAAAGCTGTTTGAACTGCCAAGTTGGCAGTTCAAGCTCACCAGCTGTTCTTTGGAAACCCTACACAGGGTCGCTATGGGTTGGAACTGACTCAACGGCACTTCACAACAATACTTCAATGGCAGCAGCACTGGAGAAAAAAACCCCAAGGTGCACTGTACGTGAGCATGGGGTCTTTCAAGGTGATGGTGATGATTGTGTGCCTTCCAGTCAGTTCCGACTGATAGCGACAGGGTTGCTGAGGTTGTAAATCTTTACCGAAAGCCTCAACTTTCTCCCGAAGAGTGGCTAGGAATTCAAACTGCTGACCTCATAATTCGCGAATAGGTCAAAAAGGGACATTAAGTGAGAAAGAGCTACAGATACAACTGCCTATTTCTCAACTCTGCTTTCAGAGGAAAGCTGTCAGAGTACTTGTGTAGGTTAGTTCTAGGCATGCACAAGAAAAGACAACTGGAAGGAACAGGTGTCTGTGGCTCTGGTGCATGTACTTAGTTACATTTCTGGGAAAAGGCCTCAGTGTAAGTGAATTCCAGTAAGAAAGCCAGGTCATAAAGGTTTTTAAAATGCTTGTAAGCAATCCTTTATCACAAATAAAATGAGACCAGTCAGTCAAACATTTCATTTTGGAAGCAAGAGTTCAGAAAGTATTTGGACATTTTAACCACTTACTTTGTTTGATGTCAAGATTAAAATATCCAAGCTAACGGCACACACACTGACAAAATGTATCATTTTACATCTCCCCATACAGGTTAACTGTACATAAACTTCCGTATTTCAAAGCACTTGTCACTTATAAAGTGAAAGATTCAAAATGCCCCATAAATATCTGTTTATTGTCATTTTTAAAAACAATAGTCCCTTGGAAGATTTCTCTCCTTGTGCTTCCAGTTGCTGCTAACATGTCAAGTCAACGTTCTTAGCTGTTCTGAAAAATCTCATAGTAGACAAGGGCTAAGTGCAGACATGAGCAGCTCCATTTTATAAACAAAGTTCCGACCTTCCATTTGATTCCACTGAACTTCTCTGAACGGTCCTCGAAGGTGATTCCACTTGTTATCTTGTAAAACGTCACTCTTTGGGAGGTCTTTACACTGGCTACGGGGAAACTGAACCAGGATCTTGCTGCCACTTTCAGGGCCATTACGAACTGTGGAACAAAACCAAAACATTAAGACACTCATTTTCCAAATTAGAAAACAAGGGTGAATTCCACAATGCCATTCTACCATGAACACACGAACACAAAAACTTTATCTGCCTACACTTACCTATTGTTGTTTATAGGTGCTTTTCTGTTTAATATGCTAAGCAAACATGCAATTTATTTATCAATTCCTTTTTGCACTATAAAAATAAAGCAAGCTGTATTTTGGTTTTAAGGATGTCAAATGTCCTAGATACTTTCTAGAAATTAACACCTGTGTTTTTTTTAAGTGCATTCATTTGATATTTTAGTAATTCCTTGAGTTAGTTAATATATACCTATCATACAGTAAAACCTAACCATTCAGAATTAGGACTGGGAGGGACAGAGGAAAGGTCAATCTAAATTAAGGACTTTAAGTTTTAATACAGTTTAAACTACTACTCAGAAAAGCGTATTTTGAAATTTCTATTAATAAAGACCCAGCAATTTCCAAACTGTAAATTCATGAACTGTGATCCTGTAGGGAAAAATTACTATCTAATCTTTCATCACCAGAGAAGATAACACTAAAACCAAAAGTCCTCTAAATACAGGCTTCAAACAGTTTGTTAAAAAAAAATAAATAAAATTTTGCCATATAAACTAGATAACGCACGTGCAACTATCTACTAAAGGGCCTGGCTCATCCCACTGCCGTCAAGTCTATTCTGACTCACAGCGACCCTGTAGAACTGGCTCACAGGGTTTCCAAGACTGTAAATCCTTACAAATACAGACTGCCACATCATTCTCCTATGAAACGGCTGGTAGGCTCAAAACATCAAGCTTTAAATTAGAAACTGAGTACTTTAACCACTGTCCCAGCAGAGGTTCTAGCAGGTATTTAGTAAAACACTTCTCTCTCTGTTCATATCATTAGGATTAGATATCATTCTTCTCATATCTGCATCAGTACATTTTTAAAAGGCTAAATATATTTACTCAAATAAAGGCTTTAAACAGCAACGTAACAATGCTAGAGGCTATTTTCAGTGTATCTCGTAGGAAAATACGTTGCTAAGCAAAACACTTCTTATAACTGTTAAAAAGAGCAGTCATAACCTCTTGCTCCAGATACCAGGTATGATCAGAAAAATGCTCAGCATAAACAGGACATCAGCTCACTTACTACAGAGATAAATTCACCTTAACGATGAGTAACTATTACAGTGAATGTCAGGAACACACTCCCACTGGTCCCTCCTCATTCAGACAAGCAGACGGTACCTGAAATGGCATAGTCACCACTAGGGGAGGCTACTGTTATGGCAGAGGCGTTGCCGATGCTCTCCACCGGTCCAAGTCCCACATGGTTGCTAAAACTCAGAACTTGCCATCCCATAACCTTGGCCAGCTGCTGAACTGCATGCACCTGGTGCTGGGACATCTGTGAAGGAAAAGAACACTTTACTTGACCACCAGCAGGGATTTTTACTTGAAGTGACTTGGCATAGTGACAAAGTCAACTAACTTGGGGTTTTCACTGCCTCGCAAGACAGCCCTATCTTATGTGCGGGGGATCCTCCGCTGGGTGAGTACTGGGGGCAGAGAGCAGACCACCGCAGAAGCTCAACTAGCATTTCCCTGCCACTCCACAGACAGCGAGTCACAGTAAGGGACTCCCATCTGGATCACTGAATCTGGAGCACAGAGTACTGAACGTCGGCCATTTGTCCTTCCAAATCCACTGTCTGGTTCACCCTCTGTCCTCACTATGGTTATAACAGGAAGGGTTCCTGGCGTGGCACTGTAGGGTAAACACTGGAATGCTAACCATAAGGTCGGCAGTTCAAACCCACCAAGTGCTCCTTGGAAACCCTATTCAGTGTCCTTATGAGGTAGAACAGACTCAACAGCACACACAACATGAGAGGAAGGAGCTCAAAACAGATAGCTGGGTGTGCAACTCTTACCTGAGATAGAAGGAAATCCTGTAGCTCCTGCTCCTGATGAGACAGTGTAATCACTCTTCCATCTCTGTGTACAACTCGGATCTGCTCAACTCCAATATTCAACTGCAGCTGAATAGACCTAGACAGACATAAATACAGAACATCAGAAATGCATCAAAGGAAAACACTACAGTTTTAAAACTCTACTCCAACACCCATGATCCTCAGGGGTCCTCTTAGAGTCAACTAGACAAACTCATGCAACACTGCCAGAGGCCACACTGACAACCAGGCTATGCAGAGAGGTACAGGGCAAGAACCGCAGCTTGTCAGCCGGGCAGCATCAGCTGCTTCTCTTCTACTCAGTCCTCACAGCAGAACACAGTTGTCTACACAGCAATACAGCTTAGTTGCAAGGAGATGAGATCCACATTGGGTAGGTGCAGGACCTGCCCTGAATAAGAAACCTTATTCCACAAAGGAGCCAAGAGCTCTTGTGACAATTCCACAGAATGGCTTCTGGGGTTCCCCCAAGACACACGTCAGTTTTAAGTCACTCAATCCAGGATAGCCCAAGATGGCCCTATAAGGTACAGAGAGCTTCTCCCAGTCCAGATGTATTTTACCAATGTGGGATCATTTAACCATAAGCAATACTGACAGCTATCCTAGGTAACACTGTTCCTGTCAGGATACCAGGACACTAGAGTTAAAGAAGTAACTGAAGGTCAAATTCTCCTGCAGAATGAGAAGCTTTTTGTTAATACTTTACCTCTACCTCCTGAAATAATAGCAAGCAATCCAGAATACGTACAATCTGTTAACTTGACCTAGATCAAACAGACACTCATAAAATAGCTAATGAATAACATGCAGATCACATTATTGCCAGACCAGCTTGCTATTATTTAACGTATTAACTGTACAGGAAACAAAACATTCTCCAAATTAAATAATCTAAACGACCAAATGCAGTAACAGAGTATTAACTTCTTCCTACATTTGATGGCACTTCATTCCTAATTTGTTTTACAGTAAACATTACAGAATAAAGCATTTTGACAACTGTCCATAAAAATATAATTTTGATTGATTAAAGGTTTGATACTCCATTCTAGAAAAATAAAACTCTCAAAAGGTTTAAAGGAAAAGACTTATAAATCTATCCAAATTTTAAAAAATTCTTTTTTTTTTTTAACACAAGTATGCGGGACTAGGAATTCCCATCACTACTGGTGGAAGCATGCTGATCTAACTGCTTTGAAGAGAAATATGGTAATATCCAGCACAATTTGGAATGTTTTTTTTCGTTTGACTCATAACTTGTCATTAGTTATTCTATACATATATTTACATGTTTACAAAATCACTTTCCTGGTATCCAAGCCAAATAATTATCAATAGAACAATGACTAAAAGTTTTGATATGTACAATATGAAGCTGTATAAAATAACAAAGCAGCCCTGTCTGTGGTGTCCTAAGGAGCTCTGGTAGCGTAGTGGTTACGAGTTGGGCTGCTAATCTCAAGTTCAGCAGTTCGAGAATACCAGAGGTTCCATGGAGAAAGATGAAGCTTCCTGTTTCTGTAAAGATTTATAGCCTGAGAAACCCTATAAAGGGCTGCTATGAGCTGGAACCGACTCCACAGCACATATCCACCACCACCATACATGACGCTGTAGAATAAGCACTGGACCACAAGGTTGGTTCAAACTAGCAGCCACTCTTGGAAAACCCTACACAGGATCACTATGAGTCGTAATGGACTCAATGTCACTTAACAGCAACATATGTGCTGGGACGATACCCTGGTGACTCAGTGTTAAGTTGAACATTGGGCTGCTAACTACAAGTTTGGCAGTTGAAACTTACCAGTCACTCCATGAGGGAAAGACGAGGCGTCTGCTTTACTACTTCGGAAACCCTGTGGAACACTTCTACTCTGTCCAATAGAGTCACTATCAGTCAGTCAACTCAATAGCAGTAGATTTGGTTTTGGTTCCTATGTGCTGATACTACTGCTGTTGTTAAGGGTCGTGGAGTTGGTTCTGACTCACAGGGATCCTCTGTAGCATTTTCAAGGAATGGCTGCTGAGTTTGAACCACCCACCTTGTGATTCAAACCAATCTTATAGTACAATGTTTATCCTAAAGCATCATACTCAACTCCATATGTGATGTTGTTGTTGTTAAGTGCCACTGAGTTGACTGTGACTCACAGCGACTCTGTATAGCATTTCTGAGGAGCAGCTGGTGAGCTTGACCTTGCAGTCCAGCGCATTAACCCGTAGCGCCACACCAGGACTCCATATGTGTTGATGTTGTTGTTGTTAAGTACTGTGGAGTCGGTTGCAACTCACAGTGACCCTGCACAGGGTTTCTGAGGCTATAAATCTTTACAGTAGCAGAACACCTCATCTTTCTCCCGCAGAACAGCTGGTAGTTTCGAACTGCCAACCTTGAGGTTAGCAGCCCGATTCATAACCACTATGCTACCAGAGCTCCTTATATGTGCTGATAAGGAATGCTTATTCACCAACATGATACTATTGAAGAAGAGGCAAGGAAGAAACTATCAAAAAGGCTTAGTAGGGGCCGGATGTAGAATTCATATGCTAGAATTTCCTAGAAGAATGCATAAGAAACAGTTTTAAATGGTTGCTTGTGAATAGAGGAACTAAGGGATGAAGTTGTGAGAGATGACTAAACCCCTCTAAACAGCACCAGCTAACCCTAACTATGGAATCCTGGCCTGGTACTGTTGGATCAGCACCTGACTGCTAACCACAAAGCTGGGGGTGTAAACTCACCAGTTGCTCCTTGGAAACCCTATACTGGGTCACTATGAGTCAGAACTGACTCAAAGGCACTTTACAAAAATAACAACCCTAGCTATAAAAGATAAGGAAAAGAACATACTACCTTCCTCTCTCCACCTGTTTCTGTCAAGGTGAAAATTATCATTACACTAGGTCCTGTGACAAAATGCCATAGATGTTTCATCTTATTTCTACAAGTGAACAATTTAATGCTGATTTTCTTTCCCCATTTTCCTTTTTTCGCTCTCTCTCTCCTTTTCTAATGTTTGTTATAAAAAATTTCAAACACATGAAAATTTAAGAATTGTGTAACATAAAACTCTATGTTCCCACTACCTAGCATGAGTGTTTATAAACGTATTCCACCTATATTTACAAGCCAGCCTTCACTTCCCCACCTCCAACACATTCCCATTGTTTTATCTTTTCTTTAGGTACTGAGGTAGAAAAATCCAATTGATTCAACTTCATTCATTCCCAGGTTTTTTGGGAAGCTTAAACACTTTTTTTCCCCATTGTATACTATTTTATCTTCCATTTGAATTGTTTGTTTGTTTTTACAACCCTCCTCTATCACTTTTCATTTAAAAACTAACAAATTTAAATCTCCACATTAAAAAATAAACTATAAATGTACCTTATGCCTACTTTACCTAAGGGAGGTAATTTTGTGTGTTTTGCTCACTGGAGAGACCACCATGCCTGGTTAGGTCAGTCTGAAATAAAGTAAATGATGTTTGAAAAATAAAAACTACTCAGAGATCCTGATATGTGTTTGTGTATGCTCACTCCAATTGACTTAGGGAAAGGGATTCAACTACATCGTCATCTCTTAAATTTCAGAAAGGCTAAAATGGAGGCCAAAGTATCCTTTTCTGCCCATATAGATTTACAGCCTCGGAAACCCTGTGCAGGATCAGTATGAGTCGGAACCGACTCCACGGTACTTGACAACAACCCAATTTACAAAGTCCTGGTGTGGCGCTGTGAGTTAACGTGTGGGACTGTTAAGTCGGTCTGAACTGCAAGGTCGGCAGTTCAACCTCACTAGCTGCTCCTAAGAAACCCTATAGAGGGTTGCTATGATTTGGAACAGACTCAAAAGTACTTAACAACAACAACCCAATTTACAGGGAGTGCAATGGCTCAGTAGAATAAACACTGGACTGCAAACCACAAAGTCGCTGGTTTTAGTCCACCAACCACTCCAAAGGAGAAATATGAGGCTTATTGCTCCTGCAAAAATTTACAGCTTTCGAAACTCCATATAGTGTCACTATGAACTGGAACCAACTAGAAGGTACCTAACAACCCAATTTATATTAACTTGTGATCTGTGAATGCAAATATAGAAAACCAAAACTGCCATCTCTGTGAAAGCTAGGGACAAGGGATATTTCACCCTTTTCAAAGACAAGTGTCAGTAAGTTATAAGAGCACATTCATGAACTCGATAAGCTTTATGGTCAACACCAGACCAGGGAACAGCTACAAAGCTTAGGCTGTTTTTGGCACCATATTGAGAACACAGGCTCTATAGTAAATGGACCTACTCACTTCAAATAGACTAGTTTTGTCTTAGCCTCTAGCAAGAACTGAAGCAGCCCTGAATCTAAGGAAATTAGGAACTTTCTGCCCAATGCTGCTATATCTCAAATATCCGGCATTTATCGGATAGAAACTATGTTAGATATTCTTACCTCTCATTCTTACAAATAGTCTGGAAAAAGAAATCAAACACACTACCAACAAGTCAATTCAATTCTGACTCAGAGTGAACTGACAGGACTGAGTAGAACTGCTGGTGAGGTTTCCGAGACTATAAACATTTATGGGAGCAGACAGTCTCGTCTTTCTCCTAAGGATTTTGACCTACCAACCTTGCAGTTAACAGCCGAATACTTATCCACAGAGCTATCCAAGTATTCTACCATTGATACAGTTTGCTGAAATGCTATGCCATCCTACAAACAATAACAAAAAAGCTTAATCACTCAGCAATCATCAAAACACAACAATAACTTTACATGCTAAATGTTTAACTCAGATTTCTAATACTTACTTGCATATTTGTTCATAGCCTTGTGAAGTGATTAAAACTTTCACACTAGACTCATAAACATCATTAATATTTGACCAGTGGGCCTGGATCTGAGGGTCCTCAATGCGACTTGCTAAGCTGTCGATGGTTGCAGCAGTTCTTTTAAAAGAAAATAAAACAATGTAAACCATCACATAGAATAAGATTTAAATAATTTATCAATTTTATAAAATATTTAAAACTTAAATGAGTTTTCCCATCATTTGATAAGCGAAGACTTTAAAGAATTCTTTGTATAGCTAGAAGAAAACGAAGCCTTAAAAGCTGCCACTCTGAGATGCATAATGGTTCTGAAGGTACTTATTTCTATGGTCCTTATTTACTTCAGGGAATACTGAATTTTACCATCAACTGAAATTTGCAAGATGAATGTCTTGCAAAAAAATATGAGAGCATCCAGAAAATATATGAAATAATTAATAAAGGGAAAAGGAAAGCAATTTCAATGAAAAATAGTAATTGTGTTCACCCGTACCTGCTCCTCAGAAAAATATGCTTTGCTTGTTTAATGATTTTTTCCAGAAGTCCTTCACTTGACTGCAACGAATTAATTTCATTTTTATCAAAAGCATGAGGCCCTGAAAGTCTCATTCTCTTGTGGCCAAAAGGTGCACTTGCTGGATGAGGCATCATGATGGAACTCAAGGTCTGTTTATGAAACTGTAACAACAAAAAGCCATTTTAAATGGCCAAAATTCACCATAGGAAATACTATGCAATATTCAATCCAAGGAGGGCTCACAATTTAGAAAGGTGAAAGCAGTGTGCTCGAATCTCATCTGGCGGCAATCCTGAATACAGGTAAGAGCTAATCTACGAGGTCATTCATGTTTGTATGGAAGTATGCATATCACGTTCTAATCATTATTTTAGAAGTTTTAAAACATGAAACCGATTCAATTTCAATAATTCTCGTCAAGAGAACACAAGCAATCAGTAAGGAGTTCTTCCACAGTACCCTAGATTAGGTGCTTTGTTCATCAGAACCAACTGAGCAGCACTTTAGAGGTACAGATATCATCACAGTCTTTTGGAGTTATGGTGTGGCACTGTACGATAAGCACTAGAGTGCTAACCAAAAGGCTGGCAGTTCAAACCCACCAGTCACAGGGTTGTTAAGAGTGGAATGGGCTCAACAGCATCACCTGCTAAACTAGAATTTGGGGCAAGGTGCATGAAGCTGAGTCCTGGTATGGCACTGTAGGGTAAGCCCTAGACCATGAACACAAAGGTTAGTGGTTCAAACCCACCAGCCACTCCTCATAAACCCTACACAGGATCACTATGAATCAGAACTCGACAGCATTTAACAACACTTAAGTTTCTCAGGAAATTCTTTTGAAATGAGCTTAAGCTGTGAATCAGCATTCTGGAAACAGAATAACCTAAAGGTACCTCAACTCAACTGTCTCGGTCAGACACTGTCAAGACACTTTCCCTGATCCCTCAATTAGAATCACCCCATCTTCTGCACCCTATAACATGAACTTCTCATATCTATTTCTACTACAAAGACTAGGGATAGTATTCTGATTATCTCTATATGCCCCAGCACAAACCAATGATCTTCCCTATCACAAATAGCCAGTGACTACTGTTACTATGTGAGTAATGGAGACTCAATCGAGGGACCGCTGTACATCCTCACTGTCCGGAAAATGCTTAACACAATGAAAAGAAAAATATTTATTTCATTACCTCTCGAATCAGTAGATGCAAATTATGTTCTAGAACATAAAGATGGTCCTCTGGACTTTGCTTCTCAGTAGCAGATTTTTGGGATTTCTTATCATTTGAGGAGTGGCACAAAGAAATAGATAACTGCAAGTCTATTATTAAAAAAAAAAAAAAAAAGGACAAATTTAAAATATTCTAAAATATGGAAATGAACAAACTGTTTACTCTCATAAAAGTATAACCAATAGCCCATTATCAAAAGACACATTCTAAATTTGAAGATCAGCTCTTGTGATTAACATTGGTAAACCAATATGACTAATCATGAATATAATAAACAAGCAAGTATTTTAACAATTTAAATTCTGTTGACCTACAACATGACTGTTTACCTTGAACAGAAGCTATAAATTCATTTGTTTCTTCCAGCTTTTAAAAAATTAAAATACAGAATTGGTATCTGTTCTTAATGACTAGAAGATAAATACTTTCCCCTGCTACTATAAAAATGGAATTTTTCACTTCTAGAACTCATTCTTTTGATAAGATCTAAAAAGATAGTCCTCAGAACTTACATGAGAAAGTACGTTAACTACAAACTGATGTTCAAAGTTAAGTCCAACTACTTTATAACAATAGTATACAATTCAATTTCTACCAACTTAGGAATGGCTGTTGTTGTTAAGTGCTGTCGAGTCGGTTCTGACTCAGCAACCCGGAGCATTTCCATGGAGCAGCTGATGAGTTTGAACTGTGGTTCAAACCAATCTTGAGGTCTAGTGCTTTATCCTATGGTGCCATACCAGGACTCCTTAGGAATGTTAAGGACATTTTAATAAACTAAACTTTTGTTTTCTTTGTTTCTTTCTTTCTGAGATCTCATTTACTCAATAAGGGTAAAAAAAAAAAAAAATAAAAAAACACATCTCTGAAAAATCTCCCACCAGTGGCATTAGTATGGACACTTTAAAGCAATTTGTTGTTGTTGTTATGTGCCGTGGAGTCGGTACCGACTCATAGCAACCCTGAACAAGGTTTCTGAGGCTGTAAATCTTTACGGGAGCAGAAAGCCTCATCTTTCTCCTGCAGAACTGGTAGTTTCGAACTGATGACCCTGAGGTTAGCAGCCTGATTTGTAACCACTATGCTACCAGTAAATGCTACTACAAATTTTTAACACACACTATTGTAAAATCCAAGACTTACATTATTTAAGACACAGAACACAATTAGCAGTGTAGTTATGTTCATGCTTTATAGCTACTTTTGCTATCATTGTTCCCGGAGCACACTCAAATAGCTACCCCCTTTGTTCTATTCCTAAAGTTACAAAACTCTATTTTAAAATGTTAAAAGGGTTGGTCTCTCTTACTTGGAAAGGGCTGAGAGATAATTTGGTTTTTCACTACAATGTGAGGGATTTGTGATTTAATTTGAACAGCTTCCCGAGATAGCTGTGCAAAAATTTCTTTACACAAGAGAACATTTTGCGCTGCTTCTAATTTTGTCTGCCAATGTGGAGAACCTGAAAAATAGGAAATAAACGTTTATCTCAATTATCTAAATATAGTATTATTAGCTGGTTTGCAAGGTTATTTGAATAGATAAAAGAGTTCAGAAAACATTTTATTAAAGTATATACATTTCTTCATTTCATTTATATAGAAAACTGATTAAGTTTACTCTTTAAAAACCATTACTTAGTTACTCACAAATAGTTCATTAACTTAACAGTTATAGAAGATTATACAAGAGTACATTTCTAATTGTTCTTACTCTAAACACCTGTTTCTCTTGTCTATATTATCACTAGTATATTTCCAAATGTAAGTTCAGACCTGGTTTGGACTTGGGCAAAGGTCGTTTGAAGAGGTTAACTGTGCCAAGGTCACCGAGATCTGGAGCCTGTTTCTGAATGGAAACCTATGTGACCATATGAACATGAAAAGGAAAAATGTCAGCGAATTCCTGGACTATTAACAATAAGTTATTTGAGACATACTTTGACATATACCTTTATATATGCAGATCCCTCCAAATCACTAGGAATTTGTACATCAAGGGGACAGTAATCTTCTGGTATTTTCTTATCCAGATCAATATCTGTATTCTTTATTACTTCAAATGTACCATGATGGGGAAAGAGAGATCCTAATAGAGTAGTAGAATTAAAAAAAAAAAAATTAATACATTTATTTAACCTACATTTTAAGTACATAATAATAATACTTCATGACCACATTGCTGAATCATAAAATGGTGTGCGTGTATGTGTTAGAGAGATTTGGCATAGATGGGCAAAGAAGGCTGGTAAGCAAAGGGAAGAAGGAAGGAGGAAAAGTTATTTACCTTAAAAATAACAACAACAAAAACACCCACTTCTTAGTCTAATGGCATCATTATAAAATGATGGCCGTCCAAACGGTTTTTCTAAAATGGGATATGACAAAAGGATCTACTGTAAAATGCCTCCTCACACTTAAACATGGAGACTGAATACCTCTGGAATGTAGCCTCTGTAGAAAAACTGCAGTTAAGTGTTTTGAATTTAGCAAAAGAAAGATAAAAGGATAATAAGCACATACTTTTTAGCTAGTTTCTAGATTTTCGTGTATTTGTGTAGTTAAGTAAGTTGCTCTTAGTGTGGTTAAATATAATTGTCTTTGTATAACAAGGAAAGATTTTTAAGACCTTGCAATTAGAAACATGTAAGTGAATTCCTTTATAATCCTGAATGACATTTCCACTGACAGGAACTAAGAAAGTATTTTTATGTAACTATTTGTTATAAAGAATTTACAGTGCTCACAACTAGAAAGCACTGTTTCTACAGACCACCTATTAAAATATAAAAATGGTTTAAACATCTTTAATTGTTTTGAAATGGGATTTCACCATCAGAATTCAAAATTTCCCCATCAGCATCAATGCTGAGGCAGCTGGCTATCTGACCTAACCTGCTCAGCCTCCTCTCCCAGTCGGCAGTCAGCCATCTCTGTCCTGTTCTCTGAAGCTCAGGGTTCCTGAGTCACCATCTGTCGCTGTTTTACCTGGTCTCCCATGAGCTTGTTGCAGAGGGTTTGCTCAGCACATCTGCCTACTCCCAGAAATTCAAATGCTACAAACTTGTAACTTAAAGCTCTTCTGATCTTATGAGGCTTTACCTTCATCATCTTGAGAAACCTTCTATTACATAGATCAAGAACAAAGGATTTATATCAAAAGATGTGAATTTGAGGTCAAACTTTCTTTGGTACAATCCAATAAAATATATATTATGTACATCAGTATTGCAAGCCTTGGTTGAAAGAGAAGAAGGAAGGCAAAGTGTTTTCACCAGTCTCTCGTCATCTAGGACTTGAAAACAGTTTAGCAAGCGAAGTAGAAGGAAAATAGAAACACACCTTTTCTCCTGGATTTTCATGTTTTAAGAGTTACTATGGGTAAAACCATTCGAGGAATCTAGTCCTACCTCATTTCTGACTAAAATGGCAATTGTGTTCAGAGTGTGTTAGTATACACATGCTCTTAAATTCTTTGGTAAATGTACCCACTGAAAGGTTTTTTAAAACTGTATCTAAACCATTTATCATGGCATTAAGGAGTCCTGGTGGCACACTTGGCTGCTAACAAAAGTTGGACAGCTAGGTGGAAGATCTACTGCAGTAGAGATTACAGTGAGGAGAAGCCCCTGAAACCACTGTACTCTGTCACGTGGGGTCACTATGAGTTGAAACCAACTCAAAGGCACCTAACAGCATCATAAGGTTATGGTAAGAGTGGTTTTAGCTCCTTCGTATAATGTATAGAAATTAAAATTTTAATGTATAGAAATTAAAATTTCCAAATGTAGTGTCTGAGAAGTGAGAGACGACGCACCATTCCAAACACCATTCCAAACAGTACAAGAAAAACACAGATGCTTTTTTTTTCAACCATTATTCATACCTGCACTTCTGTAGCTCAGGTCTCCAAGAATTTTATCGCCTACTTTTCTGAGTTTCCAGTGTTGCCTTAATCTCAGAAGCTCAGAGTTGAAGTCTCTTTGAAGCTTATTTTCTTGATTTTCAGTAACTGATTTAGTCAATCTTTCTGCTCCTTTCAGTAGGATCTGTGCTGCTCCAGCAAGTGACTTCTTCTTAGATATCAACTGTAACGTCTGCGGATTCTATCAAAAACAATCCAAAAGTCAAGCTCTGTATTGTTTTTAAATTACATATTTTAAATAAAAAAATACTAAGGAGACGATTTACAAACTAAAGAAACTAGAAAGAGGGGATGAGGAGGAGAGTACACATAATAATATATAACCCCTCTTTACTTATTGACACGGTTGAATTCCAAAGACCAGGTTACTATGTGAAATCGGTGTTAAGATGGAAGTTGGGGCCATTGTGTTTCCAAGGCCAGTGTTATCCTCCCACCTGTGTTGCTCACCTGTCGGTCGCCCCTGGTGCATCTCAGGATGACATAATACAAAGAGCTGTTGAAAGAAAGCTTCCTTAACTTAACATCATGAGAGAAGAGAAGGTAAGCATACAAGATGAATGAACCTCAGATAGGACAGATCCCAAAAGAAAATCACCAACACATATCATAACCAAACTTTCCAAAATCAAGACATGAAAAGAATCCTGAGAGAAGCTTGTGGAAAACAAAAATTTGCCTACAAAGGAGAACCAATAAGACTAAAGTTCTGATTTCTCAGCAGAAACCAGGCAGGCAAGAAGGCAACGAGATTACATATACAACACTCAATCCAGATATAGAAGTATTTAAAGTGAAGCAAATACTGTTGTTATGTGCTGTAAAGTCAGTTCCGACTCATAGTGACCCTGTATAGAATTCCCAAGGAGTGCCTGGTGGATTTGAGCCTCCACCTATGGTTCAAATCGACCTTGTTACAATTTGGGGACTGTCATAGATTGAACTGCATGCCCCCAAAATATGTGTCAACTTGGCTGGGTCATGATTCTCAGAGGTTTTGCAGATACGTAATGACGTAATATGGAAGTTCAATGATGAGTCCCCATGATATAATCTGATGTGATAATTCAAGTAAGGGGGTTAAGAGTAGGCTACATACCCCTAATTCCACTACAACCCTGGTCCCATGTAAGGGAGTTTCCCAGGAATATGCCTACAACATAAGATATAAGTATCTTACACAGATCAAAGGAAAGAGAAGTGAGCAGAGAAAGGGAAGACCTACTACATCTAGAAGGAACAGCAGGGAGTACAGTATCCTTTGACCCTGGGTCCCTACACTGTGAAGCTCCTAGATCCAGGGAAAGACTGATGCACAACCCAGGGATCTCTCCAAGGAATGCTGGGCCTACATATGCTGAAAGGAGACAAAGACCCATCCCCAGGCAGACAGGAAAAAAAAGCCTTCTCCTAGAGCTAGCACATTGAATTTGGACTTCTAACATCCTAACTATGAGAGAATAAATGTGTTTGTTAAAGCCTTTAACTTGTGGTATGTCTGTTACAGCATCACTAAATTACTAAAACCAAGACCTACAGAGTTATAACATTATACCCTCCAGTTCCCTTTCCCATGAGATCTAAGCAGTGGTCTGGATGGCCATAACAGGAGGAAAAGTAATACTGAAACCGACCTCAGTGGTTTTCTAGCACATTGGGCTAGTTTCAGACGGGTTCAAACAAGACTGAATTCACAGACTGTGTGTCCTCATTGCTAGAATGTGGAGTAAGTGGGTGAAGCGAAGAGTAGTTGCAGTAGAGTAGCTAGACTTACCGAAAGGGTGTGGGGGGTAGAGTATAACTGTCTTGTCTCTTGATTAATAAAAGCATTCTTTTTTTAAATAGAATTAATAAAGTATTACATTATGAATGAAGTGGAACTTTTCTAAGGGTCACTGGAATATAACAAATACTATGTAACACATAAGGAGATACCGTTTAATGCCTGTTTTAGACCATTAGTCTTTCAAACCTCATCTATACTTCCTTTTGCAAGAAGAGAAAAACATACAGCCTAGAAAAATGTTCCTGGGACTTAATAAAATGACAGCGTTCTTGGATTAAAGCCCACAAGTTTTCTCATACCTGTTTTGGAGGAAGCGCATCCTGAGAAACAGGATCAAGAGTCATAAATTTTTTATCCCTAACAATACTGAGAACATCATAGAGAACACACATCTCTGTCAGGGCACTTCTCAGATTGTTCCTCACTGAGTCCCATGGCCAAAGGGAAGGCTGAAATTTGACCAAGCCTAAAACAAGAAATACATATGCATTAGTTAAACAGAATTGAAGATGGAATGCTCATTTACAGCTTCAAAAGTACTAAAATGAGAAATAACAAATTTTATTTCAAAGAGCTCCCTCTTCTTTGATCCCCTTCCCTTCATTTAAGTTAGCATTCCCTACGAGAACAAAACAAATGCACTATCAAATTTCCACAGGTTATCATTAAACACAAGCACTCAAAACTTTTAAGAATATTTGCAAGCTTTATAAATCACACACACACACACTCTTAAACATGAATAAGCAATGTAAAGAATTTCCAAAATAGAGACAAGTATTAAAACAAGTATCACTTATAATGTCCTAATTCAGATGTTAACCACAGTTAATGCTATCTTATTGTGCTTGCTGTTAAATGCTGTGGAGTTAGTTCTGACTCATAGCAACCCTGTATAGAGTTTCCGCAGTGTTAAATCTTCGCAGGAGCAGAAAGCCTCAATTTTCTCCCACAGATTGGGCCCGAACCACAGACATTGTTGTTTGAAGTCCAGTGCTTATTGTATGGAGCCACCATGCTCCACATTTTAATCCTTTTTCTTTTTAAAAACAATTCTTGTATTAAAGACATTCTCACTGTCAGAGAGTTCAAATGATTCACAGCTATAGAATCAAAAGTGGGAGTTCTTGCCCTCTCCTGACCAGAGAAGTAATCTGCATTAACACTCCGGATGTACATGCAAACGTTTTTCTCTGCATCTACATGTTGTTGCCATCATGTAGGGCCCCAAACTCATGAAGAGCCCATCCCATGCACAACAGATAAAATGCAGCTCAGTCCTGAGCCATGCCCATGATCAGCTGGGAATCAGGCAGTGGTGATTCAGTTTTCACTGACTGATTTTCAGAAGTAGATTGCCAGACCTTTCCTTCTAGTCTATTCTACTCTGGAAGTTCTGCTGAAACCTGTTCACCATCAGAGCAACACATAAGCCTCCACTGAAAGCTTTGTATCAGATGCATTGGCCAGGCAATGGACCTGGGTCTCAGGCATGGAAGGTGAGAATCTTACCACAAAATCACCAGTGCCCTCATTTACATATATAGGCTCTCATTTTCCTATCATTTGTTTTCCCCTCTCCCTACTTACTGATATACCTTTGAGACACTTTCACCTAAGCATATATAACCTTCTTCATTTTTTAAAAGACGTATGAAATTGTGACCCAGCCAGACACTCCAACAAGAGTATCCAGGAGGAACAACTAGAGGACACCTAACATCAACATAATATTCTGGCATATGCATGCAAAATAAGTTTAACCATTCCCAGCTAATGGACATGTAAATTGTTTCCATCAATGCTACAGTAAACATTTTGACTACATTATCTGTGTACATATATATACAACCTGGGTTTTTTTTTTTTAACGTTAAATTCTTAGCTGTGATAAATGGATCAAAGGATATGCACATTTTAATAATTCTGAATACATGTTGTTAAGTGCAGTTGAGTTATTTCTGACTCATAAAGACCCTGTATAGGGTTTCCGAGAAGTAGATGGTGAACTGCCAACCTTGTGGTTCCCAGTCCAGTGCTTATCCACACAAGGAGTACTGAACTGCTAAACTGTCTTCTAAAAAAGGCCCTTCCAGTTCACATTCCCAATGCTGGATATCAACAGTTTTAAATTTACGTTAACTTTGTGCATGAAAATAGTAATCAATGTTTTTTGGAGGTTGTTTTTTTTTTTTTTTGCATTAGTGAGACAGCATATTTTCTTATATTTATTGGCATCTGAAGTCTCTTTTCTATAAACTGTTAATATTCTTTACCTATTTGTTGATTTGTCTTTTTCTTTCCAGTTTAAAGAAACTCTTTGAATATTAGGGATATTAATCAGTTGTATGCCAAATGTGTTGCAAATACTTTTCCCAATCTGCCAATTATCTTTTTACTTTGCTTATACTATCTTTTTCCTTGATTAAAAAAAATATATATATGTAATTAATATAGCTACTTGTTCCTTTTTAACTTGTGTTTCCTACCTTGCTTAAGATCTCTACTACTCCCAAAATGGTAATATTTTTCTTTCTATAGTTCTTTCAACATGGTTTTATTTTCTTCACTTGGTACTTTCATCCCTGTGGAAATTAATTTTCATGAGATCTGCAGTAGTAGACACCCTTTTCTCCCCAACTGGACCCCTTCTGTCCTAACACCACTAGCTAGGTTTCTTTAAATGTCCACTTACACAGGGCCTACTGCATAACTAAACCAAAAATTGTGAATTTTTTTTTAATTACTGAGAATAATGAGATCCAAAAACCACTCTGTTTCTAGAAGTCTACAACATCCCCTAACTAGCCTCTCTTCTACCATCTTTATTTTCCACATTTACTGCATTTACTAGATAGCATTCAAAGTAATCTTTTTTAAAACGGATTCATTTGTTGCTACTTAAGAGTCGCCTAAAGTTTTCCTTGGTCCTTACCATTGCCAAAGCATCCTGGCCTACCAGGCTTGCATGGCCTGACCCCTGCTTATTATCTTTTAGACCTCATTCAGTACTTCAATCAACACAGACCTCTTCTCATTTTCAGCAGGGGCTACGGATTATTGTCATTGCACAAGGAAGCAAAGCAGCTTGCCCAAGATCACACAGCTAGTCATTGCCAGGGTGCGCTGACTTTACAGAGCTCAGTAATACGGAACGTTACGTTGCAATCCCTGCATAAGAAAACACTTGGATACAGCGAAACCTGTGTATGCTTGAACTCGAAGGGTTCTTGCAAGTTTTCTGTCTTGACAGGGTGCAGAGTTACTATTTTCCTATCATTCTACAATTGTTGGTTAAGTGCCATCAAGTCGGACCCGACTCATAGTGATCCTGAATAGGGTTTCCAAGAGCGGCTGGTAGGTTTAAACTGTCGACTTTGTGGTTAGCAGTCCGGTGCTTATCCACACCAGCGGTAAATATTTGAGTTCTTCCAGCGTTCACAGGTTTTACTGTATTTATTTAAATACTCCTCCAGTGGCAGTGTCAACACTACACCTAAGAAGACCCCTATAGGATGAGTAGTAAAAGCCAAGCAATGCCTTAAATTGTGCATCTGTTTAAAAAAAAAAAGGCCGCTAATGCACAGAATGATGAGTCCACATGGGTGTTACATTAAAAGCACTCCCACTCACTGCATGTCGCCCGGAGTGAAACTACCAGAGGGAACTGGGACCCCCCCAGACCCGGCTCGGCGGAAACACGGGTCCTACCTTCCTCGTCGTCCTGGTCCGCACTGGACCCAGCGCCTGCCCAGTCTTGCGCGTCGCCCTCAGCCCCCGCCGCCTCCTCCTCCTCGGAGCCGGAACCCTGGCTGAAGTCGATTCGCTGGGCCAGACGCGCCAGGTTCTGCGACATGGACAGCGGCTGCAGATAAGTCTCAGTGCCATCCAGGCCCACCTCCTGGACCTGCTTCTCGCAGGCCGATTCAATGCTGATCCGCACAGCTCGCACCCCTGACATGTTGGCGGTGTGCGACGGGCCCCGTGTGAGGCAAAAAACGGAGGTGGGAGCCTGGAACCTGGAACCAGGAAGTCGAGCGGCTTGGGGAAACAAAGCGGAGCGCTCAGGGGCTTTCCCAGTATGCACTGCAGTATCCAGCTCACGGAGTCACGAATGAAACTGGGCAGGCGCGGAAAAGTCCTATTGGAGGTCGGGATGAACTTCCTGGTGTAAAGATAAAACTCTTGCCATACAGCGTCTTCATCGGTTGAACTGGATGATTGCAGGGATTCTCTTGTTATAACATTTTATAAGTACTTCACGACTTTATAAGTGTTTACAACATTGAACAACAGCAAAAAAAAATTTTTTTTAACTTTTTATTGTAAATTGGGTGAAGGTTTGCAGGGCATATAAAGTTTTTCATTCAAACAATTATACACATTTTGTTTCATTGCAGACCCCACAATTAAACATCATGTAACATCCTACTTCCTCCCTGTGTTTCCTGTTTTCATTTCTCCTTTCCTAAGGAGCTCTGGTAGCGTAGTGGTTACGAATCGGGCTGCGAACCTTAAGGTCAGCGGTTCGAAACTACCAGCCGCTCCGCGGGAGAAAGATGAGGCTTTCTACTCCCGTAAAGATTTACACCCTCGGAAACCCTGTACATGGTCGCTATGGGTCGGAACCGACTCGACAACACTTAACAACAACAACACAACAAGGAGCTCTGGTAGCGTAGTGGTTGTAGTGGTTACGAATCGGGCTGCTAACCTCAGTTTCAGCAGTTTGAAACTACCAGCCGTTCCGCGGGAGAAAGATGAGGCTTTCTTCTCCCATAAAGATTTACAGCCTCGGAAATCTTATACAGGGTCGCTTTGGGTCGGAACCCACTCGATGGCATTTAACAACAACAACCCTTCTGAACTTTGTCGTTGTGTAAAAATGCTTCTCTACTAATTTCAAATGGTTAAATATTCTAAGGTGTGCGTACCTCACCTAGTGTTCTCGTCCCCCTTTTATGAGTCCTGATGTGGCGCTACAGGATAAAGCACTGGACTGCAACGTTGGTTTGAACCGCAAGGTCTGCGGTTCAAGGTCAGCGCAACTCTTCGAAAACCCTATACAAGGTTTCTGTGAGTCAGAATCAACTCGATGCCACTTAACAATTATTTGGCTGAAACATGGACCATAGAGATCAGTTCATTTCCAGACTTGAAGAATGACTAAAGTCTCAGGTTCCAGTCTAGCTGACCAAAATATCTGGTCTCTTTTAGGATTTTGAGTTTGTTTCACATTTTTCTCCCACTCTGTCCAAGACCTTCTAAGGGACTCCTTTCAGAGCAGTTAGTAATGGTAGCCAGGTCCCATGTAGTTTTCTGGTCACAGAGTCGTGGTGACTGGTGTTCTGTGCTCCATTATTCTTCACATTTCCGTGCCTGCTTTATTTTCTTCACCCTTCTTTCCTCATGACAGGGAGAGATCAATAGTTAGTTGCACCTTTGTTGTTGTTACGTGCTGTGGAGTCGGTTCCGACTCATAGTGACCCTGTACAGGGTTTCCGAGGCTGTCTCCCGCGGAACAGCTGGTAGTTTCGTACTGCGGACCTTAAGGTTCGCAGCCCAATTTGTAACCACTACGCTACCAGAGCTCCATCTTAGATGACCGCTAATGAGATTTTAAGAACCCGTGGTTACTGTAGGTGTTTGGTTACGTCTAAGAAATTTTCTTAAGTTTGCTGCCTGTGGGCTCCACCACATTCATGAATATATTTGCAGCAAAGGTAAATAACCATGTACGAATATCCTGTCGAACCTAAATATATTTGTCAGTATAGTCCCATTGTCTCTCCCACATTTGTTCAGCCTGCATGTCTATCCATGCATCTACTTGTGTATCATCATTATTGCAGGATGCAACAACAAAATATCAATGGAGTAGCTGGTACCTTTCCCAGGCAATGTTGCCATGAACGTTCATCATATGTTTTTGTATGTATTTACTTTTCTAAATATCTAGGAGTGACACTGCTGGGTCATAGAGTATGTTTTTAATTTTTAAAGAAACTGCTAAATCGTTTTCATGAGTGGTGTACCATTTTGCATTCCCACCAGCAATATATGAAAATTCAAGGTATGCTACACTCTCACCAGCACTGGGTATTGTCAGTCTTTTTTTAAGTTTAATTTTTAAGTTGCAATTTTAATTTATATTTCTCTAATGACTTAATGGAGTCTTGGTGTGGTGCTATCGGATAAGAACTGGACTGCTAACCATAAGGTTGGTGGTTCAATCCCACTAGCCACTCCACAGAAACCCTATACAGAGTCAGTATGTGTCAGAACCAACTCGACAGCACTTAACAACAACAACAACTTGGTAAAGGATCCCTGGAGGTGCTCTAGGTTAAACACTGGCTATTAACCAAAGGATGAGTGGTTCTACTCCACCAGCCACTTCATAGGGGAAGGATGAGGCAGTTTGCTTTCCTGAAAATTTACAGGCTCAGAAACCCTCTGGAGCAATTCTACCTTATCCTATAGCAGGGGTGGCGAAGGTCCAGCCCATGGGTTGTGTTGTTGTTGCTGTTTAGTACCATCGAGTCCGTTTCAACTCATTGCAACCTTACACAGGGTTTTTGAGGTATAGCTGGTAGGTTTGAACCAACAATCTTGTGGTTCACAGCACCACATTGTTGTTATTGTTAAGTGCAGTTGAGTCGGTTTTGACTCATAGCCACCCTGTATAGGGTTTTCAAGGAGCAGCTGGTGAATTTGAACTGCTGACCTTGTGGCTCAAACCAACCTTGTGTTCTAGTGCTTACACCAAACTCCACAGCACCACATTGTTGTTGTTCAGTGCCATCGAGTTGGTTATTACTCATAGCGATTCTGTGTAGAGTTTCCAAGGAGCAGCTGGTGAAGTTGGAATATTGACCTTGTGGTTCAAACCAACCTTGCAGTCCAGCGCATTAATCCTCAGCACCACATTAGGGAGACATAACTCAATCCATATCATGTGTTCTTATATTTGTCAGATTGTGTCATTTTTGGTTTGGAAATATGAACTGTTTCAATCAGCAAAAAAGAAAAAAAAATTGAGTCAGCATGTTATTTAGGACTCCCAGTGTGGTGCTATTGGATCAGCACTGGACTGTGAAACACAAAGTCAGCAGTTCAAACCCAACAACTGCACAACAGAAGCCCTATACAGGGTCGTTATGAGTTGGAACCGATTCAATGGCACTTAACAACAACAACGTTATTTAAGTGGTAAACAAAAATATAAATTTTAAAGATTGAAATAAAAGATGTAAATTTAAATTACAATATTCCTGCCCTTCTCATACTGTTCTGTTTACTTGCTGCAGTTCATGTACCCCACTTAGAAAACCAGTGATGGGCGGGTAAAGGCACTATTAGCTCTCAATAGTCAGGGCCTATGGGTTAGGGAGAAACATAGGCTGTCTGCTCCCGTAAGACTTAGTTTTGATATCCCTATATAGGGTTGCAACATGTTATAATGGAATTGATAGATGTGGGTTGGGTTCTTTTTAGTCAGGGGAAGAGGCCCTGGGAACCTACATTTGAAATCAGATGGATGCAGCCTCAGAGTGTGGCCCAAACTAACTTTACAACTATTTGAATACAGTAGAGCTTCTCAGATTAGATCTTTCATGCAATTTCTGTAGACCTCTGTATGAGAAGAAAAGATCCCAGATTGAAACATAGTCTACAAAGACCCTTTTATTGATTCTTAAACAGGACAGACAATCATTCAGGATGAGGGAAATTATCAGCATTGAGGTCAGTGGATTTGACCAATGGATTCAGTCATGGATTTCATAAATTCAATGTTTGTTATAGTTGTTTTGTGCTATCAAGTCAGTTCCAATTTATAGCAACCAATTGTACAAAGTATTGAAACATTGTCCTGTCCTGCACCATCCTCACAATCAATGATAAGCTTGAGCCCATTGCTGCTGTCACTGTACCAATCCCTCTTATTGGGGGTCTTCTGCTTTTTCGCTGACCAACCACTTTACCAAGCATGATGTCCTTCTCCAGGGACTGGTCCCTTATGATAATGTCTGAAGTATAAAAGATGAAGTCTCACCAACTTGGCTTCTAAGGAGCATTCTGACTGTACTTCTTCCAACACAAACCTGTTTGTTCTTCCAGCATTCCATGGTATTTTTAATATTCTCCTCCAACATAATAACTCAAATTCATCAATTCTTGTAAGGTCTTCCTTATTCATTATCCAAATTTCACATACATATGAGGTTATTGAAAATACCATGACTTGGGTCAGATGCAACTTATTCCTCAAACAGACATCTTTGCTCTTGAACACTTCAAAGAGGTCTTGTACAGCAGACTTGTCTAATGCAATATGTCGTTTGATTTCTTGACTGCTGCAGTTGATGGTTGATCTGGGCAAAATGAAGTCTTTGACAACATCAATCTTTTCTCCATTTCTCATGGCATTATTTATTGGTCCAGTGGTAAGAATTTTTGTTTTCTTCACATTGAAGTGCAACTGGTGCAAAGACCATGGTCTTTGATCTTCATAAGTAAATATTTTAAGTTCTCTTTGCTTTCAGCAAGTAAGGCGGTACCATTTGCATATCACAGGCTATTTCTTCAATCCTGATGCCACATTCTTCTTCATATAATGCATCTTCTTGGGATTTTTGTTTAGCAACAGATTGAATAACTTTGATGAAAGAATATAAAACTAGCACATACTTTTCCTGATTTTAAACCATTCAGTGTTCCCTTGTTCTGTTCAAACGACTGTCTTTTGGTCTATGTGCAGGTTCTTCATGAGCACAATTGAGTGTTCTGGAATACCCATTCTTTGCAGTGTTGTTTATAGCTTGTCATGATCCACAGAATCAAAGCCTTTGTGTAGTCATAAAGCACAGGTAAACATCCTTCTGGTATTCTCTGCTTTCAGCAGAGATACATCTGATGTCAACAACTATATCTCTCATTCTGCATTCTCATCTCAATCTGGCTTGAACCTCTGGCCACTTTTCAATTATTTTTAGGAAAATTCTACTTGCCTGTGATATTAATATTGTCTGTTGATTTCTGCATTCCATTGGGTCACTGATCTTTGGAATGGGCACATATATAGGTCTCTTCTGAACAACTGGCCAGGTAGCGATCTTTCAAATTTCTAGACATGAGTGAGTACCTCCAGTGTTGCATTACGTAGTTGAAAGATTTTATTTCATATTCCATCAATTCCTGGAGTCTTGTTCTTTGCAAATTCCTTCAGTGCACTTGGATGTCCTCCTTCATTATTATTGGCTCTTGATCATATGCTGCCTCTTGAAATGGTTAAACATCGAACATTTCCTTTTTGTAAAATGACTCTGTGTATTCCATCTTCTTCTTCCCCCACCCCCTTCCATCTTGTTTTGTTGCTTTCTGCATCATTTAGTATTTTGCCCAAAGAATCCTTCAGTATTTAAAGTTGAGGCTTAAATTTTCTCTTCAGTTCTTTCAGCTTGAGAAATGCTGAGCATGTTGTTCCCTTTTCGTTTTCTAACTCCAGGTCTTTTCACATTTCATTATAATACTTGACTTTGTCTTCTCAAGCTGCCCTTTGAAATTTTCTGCTCAGCTCTTTTATCTCATTTCTTCCATTTACTTTACTTTCTCTATACTTGAGAGCAACAAAAGAAATGATCACATGAGCATGATTGGTGGTCAGTACAGTCCCTCACTGCCTTGAGCAGGACTATAGAACAGAGGCAGGGTAAGGACCATGATTGGGATACATACAGAATTGCAGATTAAAAATACTTACAGGTTTGGTTCTGAGGTTTCTATGTGTTGTCAGCATTGACACATGACCATGCTGTTTTGAGTCATAGGCAGGACTCCAGCTTTTAAATTAAATTAGATAGCTGTGGCTTTTTTTTGTAAACCATTAAAAACCTGCCTAGGCAAGTCCATCAGTCCTGAGAGCAAGCTTCCCCTTCCTAGATTTGTCCTGGACTTGTCTAATCATTGCCATATTTCTGACTTAATGTTTAGAAGGAACTCTAATGGCACCTGAATTTATGTCAAGACCCAACATGGAATTAGGGCTCCCACTGTAAAAGGCAGCTTTCCACAAACCAAGTGCTTTAGAATTTAATTTCTAATACAGGACTTGTAACCACAAAAGTTCTAGTCACCTGCTACTAAATCAAGACAATACTCATAGACAGGGCTCAGAGCAAAGAGCAAAGCATTTATTGTGTATGGATACATGGGACAGAAGAGCAGGTATCTTCCACATCTGCATCCCCAACTGGAGGCCAGGCTGGAGTTAGGAAGGGTGAAGAAAAACAAAATCCCAGTTGTTGTGGTCAGGCATCATTGTATTGTTTTTCTATTCCAGTAGTTAGGCTGATCCCATCAGTAGTTGGGGTGCTTGTGTCCAGGACCATTCCTATTGGCTGAGTTTACCTTTGTACTCATGAAGAGAATTGCCCCTCTCACTTGAGCCACAAGTTCTGCTTTGGAGATTGAAAAGGAGTGATTAATTATGGAATGTAATTAGGGAATGAGTTAAGTTTTGTGCCATCGAGTAGGTTCTGACCCATAGCAACCCTGTATAGGGTTTACAAGGATTGGCTGGTGAGCTTGAACCACCGACCTTGTGGTTCAAACTGACTTTAACCACATTAACCCACAGCGCCACACCAGGACTCCAAGTTTCACTATAGCCACTATTTTAAGATGGCTATTTGGGTCCTATTTTACATTTGGCTAAGTTAAAGCCTTTTTAGTGCCCCTATTTCAGAGTTACACAGCAAGCCTTCAGAATAACACACTCCCTAGGAGGGATGTAATTATTCTTAGTAACTCAATGCTTCTCTCTGCTTCCTGTTTAGAACAAGTTCCTAGCCAGTTTAGTAAGTAGTAACTTTACCCTTCACTTTTCTTCTTCACTGAACGCAGACTCTCTGCCTGTTAAACTTTTGTCCCCTCAAAGCCAGTAAAGTACCTCTTTACCATCACTATTTCAATTGATTTTTCAAAACAATGTACCACAGCAGACACTTGAAAAGTAGGCTGTGATCTCCTTCATAATATGTCTCATATGACTTCACTATAATCTCAGGCAAATAAGTTGTTGTATCTGTTGTAGAGAAGAATTCACGCAGTCCACAAAAACTGAATGTAAGAAAATTTATTCAGAGGAAGGAAAATCATTACATTTGGATATAGGAAATACACCAGTCTAGATGTGAGAACTGATGACTTCAACTAAAATGTTCTCACACAGATTTACACAGCTCGTGGAACACATTACAACACAGTCATTTATTTGGTTAATTTGGTTGATGTCAGATGTTGGAAGAGCTAGGGGTGAGGATGGGGCTTCTGTTGGGTATAAAGAGTTAAAATCATTTCAGGAACGAATAACAGGGATGCCAAATTGTAGTTTTATAGTTCTCAGGTGGAGATCATAAAACACTGGTGGAATTTTACACAGCTTTAGCCAGATAGCTCAGGAGTGTGTAAAGATTCCTTTTGGTACCAGGGTCTCATTTCCCTGAAACAGCTTGTTAATCTAAACTCTTTCATGATCTGGTAAAGTTAAGGCTAATGTCAGGAGACAGCTACAAAAACTCTTTCAAGTAATTCTCTCATGACATCTTTGTCAAGAAGAAATCTTCCTTGGCCTACTTCACACAAAAGACAGCTGTGTCCAAATTCCTTTCCTCAAAGTGTATTTCCTTCACATCCTAACAGAAATGATCTCCTCAGTTTTATGGCTCTTCTGGTATCTATCTATGGGTCAGGATGGACTAGAAGGCACTTAACAACAACAAGCAATTAACATATCCAGGTAACAGAGGCTTGTAGTAAGAGTAAACTTGGATTCTCAGGAGGGCAGTTAGATAAAAAGAATAGTTAGGAATTTATACTCCCAGTACACATTATAGCTAACATAAAAAGCAGGCAATCAAAAATATTCTTGAAAATCTATTAAGTGCTTAATATTGAAAATTATTCAGTGCTGTCTACTATCAGCACTAGAGATAAAAACAGCCAATAGGAATGGTTGAAATTAGCAAAATTGTAGAGTTGATATTTGGCTAATGGTTATTACAGAACTCCCGTGCAAATTTCAACCATTACAATTGATCAACCAACACCATAATTAACCTTTCATGAATGACAGCAGTCATGCACTGCTATAGCCTCACTTATAAAGTAAAGTACTCTCACTTCAATGTTGTATGTTCATGTTGTTTCTTTTCTCTTCTTGCAATTAATCAGCAAGCTACAAACTGCTTCTAATTGTCAATCCAAAGGATGTGAGACTAAATCACATGACTTCTGATTTAATTCCTTCTTAATGCATTTTCTTTGGGATCTAGGACTACTAACAGTAGCATCACAACTGTCTTTAACAAACAAAATTTACTTTCTTAACAGAAGAGGCCAGAAGTCTGAATGCAGGGTGCCAGCTCTAAGGAAAGGCTCTAGGAGAAGGTTCTTATTTCTGTAAACTTCTGCTCCTGGGTGGTCTTCACGTGGCCTGGCCCCTGCCTTCCCCATCCCTGCTTGTGCACGTGCTTGCTTAGCTTCTGTTATATCTCAACAGAGATGACTCAGATATATGCTACACTAATCCTGCCTCATTAACATGACAAAGAGAACCCATTACCAAACAGGATTAAAATCACAGGCACAGAGGTTGTGAGTTAAAACACATATTTGGAAAACACAATTCGATACTTAACAAGCATGAACCATGACACTGACTTTGCTGATATTATAGAATAAAAACAGTGAAGAATATTTCAATGATGCATCATTGTTCACCATAATTAATCTAAAATAGATTTATAATACAGAATGTAGTTTGAACATAATCCTTAAATTTCAAAGGCCAAAAAACTGATATTTAGTAGTGAGATCATTTCCATTGGATTTCATACTAGTATCCATTAATGATCTTGATTTAAATTTTTAAAGAGAAACCTTATTTCCATTTCTAAATGAGCATCACCTGACTTAATCTCGCCCAATTGAATGGGTCTCTTTTGGCTGATCAATACGAAAGAGAAACTCCGCAGGTGAGAAGTACCCAAGATACTCCACTGTATCTGGGGTAGTGTCATAATGGTAGTGCCCGCCGTTTCCATGATGACTAAAAAAATGAGTATGCTCCAGTCGCAAATCAAACCCCTAGGACAACAAACAAAACATCTGTTAGGGCTCAAACTAGTTTTGGAAAGAAATTTTTTAAGGGGGAAGTGAGACCTTTCTTATGTACAATAATTTTTATTTTTAAAATAGCTTGTAAGTCACAATTCCAAATTCAAAGAATATATCCAGTAAAACATCTTGTTTTACCATCTTCCTTTAACATTTACTATACTTTCTTCTTCTTGTTGTTACTAAGTACTGTTGAGTTGGTTTTAACTCCTAGTGACCCTTTAAAGACCCTGTACATCTTTGCAGGAGCAGAAAGCCTCATCTTTCTCCTGTGCAGCAGCTGGTAGGCTCAAACCTCTGAGTTTGTAGTTTGCAGTCCAGTGCTTATCCTACAGAGCAATAAGCAATTTATCATCTATCCTTCCAGAAATGTTCACTTTATGTTTTGACTCAAGTGGTAGTACACTGTGCACACACTGTTCTTAAACAATACAGCTTGCATGTCTTTGGATATCAGAACATAAAAGAGCTTCCTCATTCTTTTATACCTACATGGTATCCTGTTGTATATATATGTTGTTGTTTTTAAGTGCCATCAAGTCAGTTCTGACTCATAGTGACCCTGTGTAGGGTTTCCAAGAAGCAGTTGACAGATCTGAACATATAGAATATATATACACAACATATAGAATATATATATATTGTTGTTGTTAAGTGCTATACAGTCAGTTCCGACACATAGCGACCCTGTATATGGTTTCTGAGGAGCAGCTGGTGAGCTTGAACCACCAACCTGGCAGTTCAAATGGCTTTGCAGTCTGGTGCATTAACCCACAGTGTCACACATATAATATATATACACACACACACTATTTCCCAATTAATAATTAGAGTTTTTACAATTCTTATGGTAATATAACTGATGTCATAGATAATCTCTTAACTAGGTCATTTTATAAATCTATGATAATATTTAAGGATACATTCCTAGGATGTCATTTTGGTAACCATTTGCTTTGAATTGTTCTATACTAAAGTGTTTTTCTCTAGGAGTAAGCTTGTATTATATTTATTATATTAGAATATGCTGAATGACAAATAAGATAATAAGAGATTTGAACCCCAGTCTGAATACTGCTACTTTACATGACTTTGGGTGTCATTTTAAATGCCTGTGCCTGCATTTCCTCAAAGGTAAAATCCGCTCTACCTCGCTAAGATAATTCTAGCTATATCTTAGTTTTTAAATAATGCAACTACAAAAAGTACCCAATTAAAAAAAAAATCCTAAAAAGCAACATTATCATTTAAGCATACTGCAATATAAGAGGCAGACAGAGACTTACTGGGTCTTTGGAGACAAAAACTGGCAGACAAACCAAAGGACCCTGCATCTCATAAAACTGCAACCATTTATTCACATCTTCATCAGAGTTCAATGGGCAGGAAGAAAACTCTGCAGGCTACAGAAAAAAACAAACAAACATTGAACAAGTAAGTATACGGAATATTTACCTGCTGCCATTGTTAATTCCAATTCATAGGCCAATCCAGTGTGACAGAGCAGAACTGTCCCAGAGGATTCCCAAGGCTGTAATCTTTATAGACGCAGACTGCCACATCTTTTTCCTGCAGAGCAGCTGGTGGGTTCAAACCTCAGACCTTTCAGTTACCAGCAGAGTGCGTAACCACTATGCCATCAAGGCTCCTATATTAGATGTCACTGAGAGTTAAAACTTAAAACTACATGCAGTTCCATTAAATTAAAATATGTAGGCATTCTTATATATTCTAGTGACAATGTTGTTGTTAAGTGCCGTCAAGTCGGTTCCGACCCATAGCGACCCTGTATAAGGTTTCCGAGGGGTGGCTGATGAGCTTGAACTGCCAACTGTGTGGTCCAAACAACTTTGCAGTCCAGTGCATAATCCCACAGCGCCACACCAGGACTCCTATTGACTATATCTGGCATCAAAAGAAGTTATATACTTTACTTCTCAAAAGAATACACACATTTTGAAAATTACACTACCAAAAGTAGACAAAATAGATGATTGGGACATACTAAAAATTAAAAACTTATGTGCATCAAAAGACTTCACCAAAAGACTAAAAAGGGAGCCCACAAAATGAGAAAAAAAAAATCTTCTGCAATGACACATCAGACAAGGAACTAATTTCTAAAATATATAGGAAACTGTAACACCTCTATAAGAAAAAGACAAATAACCCAATTAAAAAATGAGCACAGGACATCAAAAGACACTTCACCAAGAAGGAGATCTGGGCAGCCAACAAAAACGAAGAAATGTTCACAATCACTAGCCATTTGTTGTTGTTGTTGTTGTTAGGTGCCATCTAGTCGGTACCGACTCATAGCGACCTTATGCACAGCAGAATGAAACACTGACCGATCCTGGTCCAACCTCACTACTGTTGCCATGCTTGAGTCCACTGATGCTGCCACTTAGCCAGTCCATCTCATTGGGGGTCTTCCTCTTTTTCTCTGACCCTCCACCTTACCAAACACTAGCCATTAGAGAGATACAAACAACAACAACAACAATGAAATATCTCATACCAGCAATAATAGTGAAGATCAAAAAAGTAGAGGACAATAAATGCTGGTGAGGACATGGAGAGACTGGGACACTCCTACATTGCTGGTTGGATTACAAAATGGTCCAACTTCTCTGGAAAACAATATGGCACTTCCCCAGAAGGTTGGAAATAGAAATACCTTATGATCCAGCAATTCCTCTACTTGATATTTACCCACAAGAAATGCGAGCCACAACATGAGTAGATATATGCACACCAATGCTCATAGCAGCACTATTTACAATAGCAAAAAGATGAAGAGAGCTTACATGCCCATCAACTGAAGAATGGATAAACAAACTTTGGTACATACACACAATGGGATACTATACTAGCTTGAAGAATAACAAGGAAGCTGCAAGCCACCACATAACATGGATGAACCTTGAGGACATTATGTTGAGTGAAATTAGTCAGTCACAAAAGGAGAAATGCTGCGTAGGACCATTGTAAAAGCTTAAGAAAAAGTACCTACACTGCAAGGGGAAAAAAGAAAAATTCTTTGCTGGTTACTGGGATTTTGGGGTAGAGTAAGGGGGAAGAGGGGAAGGTGGAGCACAAGGTAGGGAATAGACACAGGATAGTTTGGATGTGGAGGTGCAGGATGGCAATATACAAGAAGGGAGAGGGGAATGGAAGAACAAGATGGATGGGAGAACATTTAGGAAGGTTTACATGGGCTAAGTGGGACAGAGGTAAATAATGATGTATCCTCAACCTTGGAACAAGAGGGTTCTGGGATACAGGTATTGAGTCATGGTTTGAATGGGTAAAAGGGGGGAAATAATGTTAAGATGTTTTTTTTGAATCTTGCTTTCCCTTGCCTACTATTGTAAAATAGACACTTGAGGGGAAGAGAAAGGAATAGCCAGAAACATCACCATAGAAAGTTTGTAAGTCTGTCTTCAGCCTATAACTGATTGGAATACCTAAAATGGGGCTAGAACGTGCCCAGTGAAGGAGGCTTCCTGCGGAGCCCTTGCATTGCATAAGACCATAGGTGGAATCCTGATCCCCATCCAGAATCATCTGAGGTGGGAAATTTTCACTTAAAGGACAAGCATACCAGCCTGGAGCAGCTAGAAGAACAGAAGATACTTCTTTAAAGAAAGACCAGCAGGAAAAATAAAAAACAATAGCAGAAGTCTGATTGACAACTACAAGAACAAGCAAGTTTTGCCCAGGAGCCATCAAGGCAAGTGGTAGGGTCCCCTCAGGGGAAACCCCCTCTCAAGACTGTAACTCAAGGGTATTATACGAGCAGTCATGTGGTCTTGCTAGTGACCATGTTGGTCTACCAATAAGGGAAAGTGGGGGAAAAACAGCAATGAAGTTGTGAGCTAAGTCTGACCATGTTCAATAGATTCCTGTCAACCTGGGTTGAGACATGGTTGGCCAGCAGTATGGTGAGAACTGGGGACTCCTGGGCCCAGGGACAGAGACATGGCCACAGAAGACTAGAGTGGAGAGTGAAGCGTCCAGCTGATATGAAGTAAGGGGAGATGCACAAGAACACCCATACTTGCAGATAGTACCCACTTGACCTGGCTTCAATGGCTGTATGATCAGAACTCGACTAGAGGGAAAAAAAGAGTAATCCACTACAATTTTATGAACTTGACCTATACTTATGGATGTAGTAGCTCAAAAGAGGGAATGAATCTTTACAGCAAGTATCATTCCCACCCCCTCAGTACGCCGGATTGACAGTGATGAATAACTTAAACATTGGCTATCCAAAATGGGGGTGTTACAAAGGCACAAAGTGACTGGCTTACAAGCTTTCAAGAGGAAGCCTAGTTTCAGAAGGTGCAGGGGCAGGTAATCTCCACTGAATGGTTTCCAACGTGTCTGGACAGGACTGGTGAAAGGAGATGGGGATAAGCTTCTTATGATTCAATAGTGAATAATTGCTATCAGGACT